ATAAAATAAATCATTGTAGATGATAAAAATTAAAATTACATTTTTTTCTTACCTGCACTGATGATAGTCATTGTTTGGATGGGGTCTTTTATCCATTTATGCAGTCACACAATCAATCAATCAATCAATCAATCAATCAGTAGCTGACCTGGGTTCCATGCAGTCACAAAAACAAATTAAACGAAAAAGCCTCAAAAACAAAAATGCAAAATAGGTAAATAGCAAAAACAAAAGCGCCAAACTTAATCCATTCTGGAAGTCCGTTTGACTTCCAAAATGTTCGAAAACCAAGGCACAGCTTCTAATTGGTGCAGGCGCCCCAGAAACAATAGCCAACAGCCGCATAGGATGTTCGGCTTCTGAAAAACGTTCAAAAACCGGAACACTTATTTCCGGGTTTTCAGCATTTGGGAACCAAAGCGTTTGAGTACCAAGGTACCACTGTATAAGAAACAAGCAGATAAATAAATAAAGGTTTTGGTATTAAGTACAAATTCCACAGCATATTTTGGAACTGAGTGTATTTGATTATTCCAGCTCAACTTTCTTACCCTCCTAGACTGTTTCCCCAAGCTTTTATAAATGGTGCTCTGGACCTTTATTTGGAGTTGAGTATCTGATATATTGTCCTGGTGTGGACCAAAGACAAGGTGTCTCCTCTAGGCTCTGAGCAGACCCGCCTCACAATTTCCCATGTTCCCTCTCCCCATCAAGTTGGGCACAAAAAGGAACTCTTGCTAAAGGGCAGGGGATGGATATACCCATATTAACAATGGACCTGTTGCATATTTGGGGACTCACAGGGCTATAGCCAACCACCTTCTATGCAGAGTCACTGAAATTAATGGACCTGTTTGTCATGTACATTAATTTCAATGGATCACTCTTAGCAGAACTAATGTTGGGTGTAACCCGTAGTATTTTCCCATTCTGACATCATTCTCCTAAGCAGCACCTTTGAGTTCACTGGTCCTTTCATCTTGGCTTTCTAAAGTCTGCCATAGATAGTGTTTCACTGGCAATGCATCTGCCACCAGCATGTTTACTCTCTGATGTGGAGCAAACATCTTGTTCCTGCCTCAGGCACTCACTAGGTCTAGGGAGGATAGAGCAGATAAAAGGTGCCTTATCGCTGCCGTCAGAAGTTACTGCCTTTTGGTAGGCTTGCCTGTGTTCTTTATCAGCACCAAGAATTTTGAAAACGTTAATACAAATATATTCTGCTAAGCAGATCTGTCACCCACAGAACTCACGACTTGCCACCACAAACTTCCTTTCCCTTCTCACTTCAGCAGAATAGTCTCGCAGCCGTGGCTGAGATCGCTTGCAACTCTTAAATGAAATGTCAGCAAGTCTTCGCCAAGACATTCATTATCATCTTGACTTACAATCTCATCCCAGGAAGCCTTCACATCATGCCACTCAACCGGATTGACTGTCAGCTTTCCCCTATGTTTTCATCCATATTTGCCGCCTTCATTATCGAATCTGTCACTTCACCAACATCCGTACAGTGCAAGGTAGTTTAATTTTGTCGCTCATGCAATGGCTCTAGTGCATCTGTCTGATAAGCTGAAAAATGATATTATACAACAATGTGGCATTTCAACCCTGCGGACACAAACACTGGTAAATCAGTGTCTTGCTGTGCCTACATGAGCTTTCTTTGCTATGTACGGTGAAACAGCCATATGAAGGCAGTGATGAAACCCAAGCAGCTGGATAACACAGAGGGAGAATGGAAACTATGCATAGCTGTATATGTGTTAAGGGGGATGCAAGTTGTGCGGTTAATGTGCAAAACAACCAGCCATGAGTCACATTCACCCAGCCTTCTGGGGGTGCAGGCTTTACATTTCTGAACAAAAGATAGAAAAAAGGCATGTTTCTTGGAGACTCTGCATACTGACCAGAGAATGTGCACATTGCCTAGAGAATGTACAAACTGCAGTTAAGATCTGCACAATCGATCTGTTGGGGATTATGCATAATGACCAGAAAATGGAGAAAATTCATGTCTGATCTACACATTCCCCAAAGTCTATTTGGGATTGTACATAATGGCTACAGAAAGTACAAAATTCAGTTGATATAGGCAGATTTTCCAAGGTCTGTTGAAGATTTTACACACCCACACCCACACACCATCACATACATATATAAATATGCACAATTCCTTTTTAATTTATGTTTTATATGCACATTCTCCTAGAGACCTGCTGAAGGTGACCAAGGCTGGTTGTTACACACATTACCGGTAATTGCTCAGCTTACATATCACCTTAACATATACATTACATGGTATAGGAACAGAGGAAGCTGCATTACACCAAGCCCTTTCAAACCATGCCCATCATAGCTTATAAAAACTAGCTATAGTGATAGTAAGGCACTCGAAAGAATGGAGGTGATGCAATTACAGATACTGCGACCCATTTTAATTTGGCTTTAGCCCTGCCTTAAACTGCCTTGGTCAACCATGTTGATTACCTTTCTTCAGAGAGGGATGGTGGAGACAATCAGTAATCACTAGGGTGGCACTGAGCTTAGCTGTAAGTCAGAAGTTTCCTTTATCTTTTCTGTTCTTTGAGAGAGAGAAATTAAGTTTTGTGCAGCTTCTTGGCTGGTGTGTCCACTAATTCTTCCAAGTCATCAGGACATACGTTATGTTCTGCAAGCAAATAGGTTCCAAATTTTTGTTTGTATATGACTGAAAAGCATAATAACCTATTAACAATAATATTAAAAATGGGGTGCGTTGAAATTGGGATGCATTGTGTATACTCTCAGAAGCTGTTCAGTGTCATGTTGCTTCAGAAGATATCCTCATCAACTCAGTTTGTAATCCCCCTCCGCCCCAAGGCATTCTGTGGGTTTATTCTGGCGCCGTCTCGACAATTTTTTATTTTTATTTTTTGTAAAAGACTTTTACATTTTGGATGCCTAGGCACTGATTGGACCAAAATTTTGATTCCATGCACAAACACCCATGTACAATATAGAAATCAGTTTAAGAACAACTCTCAGAATAACTGTTGAGAAGTATAAAGGATACAGAATGCTAAAACACGGATAATAAAGCAAAATGAAGCCATTGCAGATGAAAGCTTAGGAATACATGACTTCAAAAAGAATCCAAGGTAAATGTAATGCAGATAAAGGCTAGGACAATAGATTGCAATTGAAAGCAAAGATATTACGGCAGTTCTTTTTGGTTGTCAAAGTGATTGGAAAGAAGACTATGTCAAATTAGAATATTTCGATAGGGAAAGTAACACTCATTAAAGTATAGGTGGTCAAAAACGCTGGGCTCTGCAAGCAAATTTGCTCCTATTATAATCTGTTGAATAATATATTTACAGAAATTTCAAAAAATGCCCTAAATAATTCATTTCATTTCACTACCAGTGAACAAATCACACCTAGCTTATAATGTTCCAAACAAATGATCTACTCATTGCATGGATTATTTCAGCCTACAGTCAGACACTTAATATTAACCACATCCCACTTGCATCTCACATGTGCCCACCTGGTCTCCAGAGCTTCAGCATTTTGACAGAGCATCTGAATTATGAGTTTTGAAATCTTCTCATACGAACGTTCATAGAAAAAGGGGTTAAATAAGTCAAATAACTACTACTACTGTTAATGCTGTGGCCACAATCCAGTAAGGTTTGGGTGCACTTAAGCCATTGCCATTACAATCTCTGGGCAGGACAAAAAATATTTTGTGATCTTTATGTAACATTGACCATTTCAAGAAAAACAAGGTTACAAAGAATATGGCATCTATCCCTGAAATGACCGCCACACTGTCTACAGCAGATAAGGTTAAACATTAAGATAAGCTCCCTAACTTTTAGAGTAGCTTCACCATGTAACAAATTGTTTTGGAACACCAGGGCATGAGACAGCCATCAGAAAAACACGCAATATTCTTTAAGGACAGGTTGGATATTGTGAAGGTGATGAAGCTGGGTAAAGATACAGCTTGCAGTTCTCCGTCATATGCCTGAACTGACAGAGCTCAATTTTGTCCACCTGCCTTTGCCCTCCATTTCAATTTACACCTGTCAGCTTGGCTTCTGATTAGTTTCAGCAACACACAATACAATTCCCATTTATACGGGCAATTTTTCCACAGAGTAATCTCCTCTCTTTCCTTTAATCTTCAGACTAGCATCAACATGTTGATGCCTTATGTTATTGCACTTTTGGCTTCAAAAGTGGATTTTTTACACTGGCAGGAGCTAGAACTTATTACCATAAGCTGCAACGATGCTTGAAAATAAGAATTTCAGCATTACACTCCCTAACGCTGTTCTGATGAAACAATCTCCATGTTATTTCACTGCCTTGAAGTTATTACTAGCATCACAAACATTGGTTTTTGCCAGAACATAGACAAGATAAACTAATGAGGGTTTGGACTGAACAATCTTGTCTAAATAACTTGCACCATAGTCCTAAACCATGGCCAGGAGCAGGGAGGCAGAGCGGACACATTTAAATCCCACTGGCTTGAGCTGGCCAGGGTGGATGGTAGGGATGGTGGGGGATTTGTGCCATCCCCCCCCGCATCAGCTGGATTGGGTTCCTTTCCCAGATGTTTAGCTGCCAGTTAGCATGGCTAACGCTGCTCCACCTCCATAATCCCACATTGTGGGGCTCAACATTGGCTACTGCTTAGCATCATGGGGTACAGCTGCCAATAGTACTAAGCATATTAGAAGTGTGCACTGACTTGTGATCTTTGGATAGCTATTTTTTCTTAAATATTTTTTCTTTTTTTGCCAAAATCCAGTGAGGATGTATTGTGAACAGAAACTTTGTCCTGCGCGATCAAATGAGGTGGTCAGCGCTGCCAGTTCTGGTGATCTATTTGGCAGGAAATGGGCGAGGGATTCTTGAGCACAGCAGTGAGTGTGCAGTCCTTCGAAGCCCTTAGATACGTCTGGTCAATTATGAAAACAAGCAGCTAAGACATCACACGAAAAGACAACTGGAGCCACACTTTTATTTATTCAACTTTGAAATGCTGATTAGCTAATATATAACACAGTATGGTATTCAGCCTGTCCTTTATTAGTTCTGTGCTTTAGTATTAATAATCACTGCAAATGAGCATACTCTTGAAAAAAGAAAGTCTGAAATTAATGCAGCTTGTCCCTGTTTCCCAGAATCGACTGTCATTAGAATTTCACTGAAAAACAGGATTCCATGATACAGCATACTATGAAGGCCGCAGCAGACAGGCTACTTACCAGCAGCCTCAGCGAGATGGGTGGGCTGGGCCTATTTAAAAAATATGATTTTTAAGATTGCAGCCCTACAGACTTACCCTTCCACATTCATTTGGTCAGGAGTTAAGTCATTGTTTTCAGCGCCACAGTTCTGAGTTTTACTTCTCTAGAAAGAGAAATCTGTGGATGAAGATACCTTTAAAATTTCACAGCCAAGTCAGTTAAATTCTGGTGATCTACAACATATGTACAGTATATAAATATATGCATTTATGTACACAAACGAAGGTTAAAACATTATAAACAGAACCAACTTAGGCTGTACAAAAATATCCACTTGGATGAGAACATGCAAATACACTACGCTTCAAATCAAATTTAAAAAGCATCTCTGAGTTGTGTTTTCTCAAATATAAACTTCAGCTCGCATAGATTTTAAAGCAGATTTATCAAGAGAGTCAACTTTCCTAGTAAAGATATAAAATCTATTAATAAACACTAGGTATTAACTAAACTCATATACAGTGCTTTTAGGTGATCAAGTTTCAAGTATTTTTCTTTTCTCACAGAAGTCTAGATACTTCAGCGCTCAGCTTGACTACTACTTTGAACAGATAGGACCATATCTCTGAAACCACTTGACAATAAATGGTTTGAGACTCACAGCCTATGGGGTAAAATTAGAGCGAAAGGGGTGTCTGAGAGTGCTAAGGAAGATGGCTTTCCCCTAAGCTGTGCCTACAAGTGCTGTATATGCTGGTGCTCATGGGTCCCTGATCCTATATCCACTGAAATCAGTTGCAAAAACACCCCTTTTGCTATTTATTTTTTAAGGCCAGGAGGAAAGCACCCAGTTTGATTTCTGACAGGAAGCAGGATATAGAATTCTTGCTCAGTACTGATGACTGTAGTACACTTGAGGGTGAAATCAGATACATTCGAAGTGTGATTGGCATACAACAAATAATGAGTTCAAACCACTTCCCACCACACTTTAGAATATCTGTCTGCCTTTATCCTTACTGAGCCAGGCTTCGAAGGTAAGCAGCTGAGCTTTAAAATAGCTGCAGGACTGATACAGAGCACTTGCTCTGGATCTTTCCACTTTGGGGAGGGGGGGTGTATGTGTGTGTCTAAGTACAGAGATAGCCCAGCGCACATGAACCCAGTCATTTGGGAATCTCACTGAAGGAAACATGGCAAGAGACTATTCCTGTTTTCTGGGCTACAACAACAAACCCTTCCAACTCAATGCTTCAGTCCCCCATTCATGTTTCAAAACCAGAAGTTGCAAATGGCATCAGAAAACTCCTATTTTGTCAATGAACCACAACATGATTTTCAGGGGGGCGGGAGGGGACTTAGGGCAGCAGTCTGGGGAAATGAGAACTGAATTGTTGATCAAATCTAGCGTCCCCAATGTATGCTCCGTGTACGCACCATTTATCCAGGGGTTCCCAAATGCACATTTCGTCCCCCCAGCCAACATTCCCATAATGTTGTTTCAGCTAAAGAGAGCTTTATTTGGCTCATACACTTTAAAAATATTCCCAGCAATGAGTACTTGATAATATAGCATAGCCTTCTGCCTCTATAGTTTCATTAATGGTACTAGTTCTAACTGAAGGGATGTAAGTGCACGGTTGATATTGAAACGGAAGCCCTTGGTTAATTGTTTATGCAGCCGTCACAGTTAACTGCAGACTGTGGGGTCACAAAAGGTTCATTTATTTTCTGATCTTCCTTCAAAGAGGCCGCCTGGTCTGAAATTGAAGAGAAGGAGAGCTGGTCATGTTCTACTATGTGCACTCGGTCCTCTTCCTTGTCCTTCTTCACATAGAACATTTTCCTAAATTTTTTGAGCTCGTGAAGTTCACAGAAAGTCTCTAAAACCACCAGCATTGCAATGAGGCCCAACATCAGGTAACCTAGGAAGACATTTAAACAGTGTTTAAAATGTGAACTGGTAGTACAGGTATGTCTGCTGCAATGCTCCAAGTCAGAGAGGTCCCCAAAATGGAAAGGGCGCCATCTCTCCAGTTAGAACTATATTTCCACACAGGCTTTCGAGTATAAGAACTCTCAATGCAATTTACAAATAAAACTGTAAAACAATAAAAGTATAAAATACAGCTAATGAAACAGCAGTATAAAAAAATTCGTCACCCACAATTAAAACCACAGCTTATAAAATGTAAAGCAGAAACGTTATTCAGTTATGAGCAGACTGGAATCTTTAGGTCTTTAAAGCTCTTTTGAAAACAATGTGTGGCCTTCCTTTAGATAGTTGCGCATGTGCAAGGATTACTGCCAATGCAACAGGACTTTCCTCCCTCTATGCACCCCATGCCACTCCCAAATCTGCTCAGATTTAGGGGGAGGGCAGGGGGGGAGGAGAATGTTTCATTGCACAAGGAAAAATCCTTCTGCTGGTGGAACCAGCAACTTAGCGCTATGTTGAATACAGCCCAGTAACAGATAGGTAGCCATGTTGGTCTGCCATACAGCCCAGTTGGTCTGGAATACAGCCCAGTAACAGATAGGTAGCCATGTTGGTCTGCCATAGTCAAAACAAAAAACAAACAAAAAAAATTCCTTCCAGTAGCACCTTAAAGACCAACTAAGTTAGAAGGTGGGGAGGGGTATTACTCAGAAGGGTGGTGGGAATGGGTGGGAATGGATATCTGCCAATCACCCATTCCCACCACCCTTCTGAGTAATACCCCTCCCCACCTTCTCACTATATAGAAGGATCTGGCAACTTCTGTTTCAGTGTATCTGAAGAAGTGTGCATGCACACGAAAGCTCATACCAAGAACTAACAGCCCAGTAAGTCATTCTGCACCAGCTGAAGCTTCCAAAAACTATTTATCTACAGTGTCATATGAATGCTACCAGGTAGGAATGGCTTGTGCTTGAGTCACAAGCTATTACTAATTCCACATAGAGAGGTGCATCTTTAAGTATCTATATGGTAGACACTTTGTAGCCCACTATGTCCTTACATGTGGCCCACAACATTGATTTTGTTTATAATGTAGTATATTTGCATCTTATTCTTTCTCCAAACCATTCAGTATGGTGTTTTGGATAAGAGTTCCACAGCAACTAGGATTTGGGACACCTCTGAAAAATGTGATTCCACACCTTAATAAAAACATACTTAACAGGGTTTTGATACACATTTCAAAAATCCAATCTGGATTTTTCCATTTACTTTTGCTATATGAATGGCTGGACTCAATGGGACTGCTTTGCAAAAGTCACAAAAGAAACACCAAGAAAAACAGCTCTAAAAACTATTCACCCTCTTACTTGTACCAGTAATTTGCTACTCACATGTAATTCCTATTTTATACAGCTCTCTGAATTTTTGGTTGTAACCTTCTCCTGGAACATAGTCACCAAGGCCAATGGTGCTCAGTGAAATAAAGCAAAAGTAAAAAGATTCCAGGAAGTTCCAGTCATCTTCAAGGACAGAAAATATCGCTGCCGGGATGAAGAAAAAGCACGATACAGTAACGAAGCCCAGAATCACAGCATGGATGATGGCAACTATCTGCTTAGAGAAACCCCAGCGGACATGGAAATACAGCACAGGCCGCCTTGTTACATAGACAATAATGCGCTGCACCACTGCTGTCAGGAAAAGCAGTGTAAAGGGGATTCCAATGACCGAATAGATGATGCAGAAGGCTTTCCCTCCATCTGACAAAGGCACGGTGTGTCCATAACCTGTTAACAGAAAAAGAGAGACAGGAGTGAGATTTGGAAAAACAGTCTGACCTGTGAACTGCTCGTTTTTCAGGAGTGGACTGATCAGAGTGGGAGAGAATGATTTGCACCTGGAGCTCCTGACTGAGTGTGCTTTGTTCCACTCATGTACCAGAAAGGTTTGTGGGTGTTTCTTCTTTTCATTCATTCACTAACCCCACCTCCTGCTCAGTATAAATTGGCAATAAAAATGGCAATGACCTTTTGCCTAATTCAAAGAAAATGCAAAAATGGCATTTCACACTGTGAAAATGCTTTTTTGAAAAATATATTGAATTTGCCATAGTGAAGGCTTCCTCAACCTGGCCCCCAGATGTTTTTGGCCTACAACTCCCATGATCTCTAGCTAGCAGGGTCAGTGGTCAGGGATGATGGGAATTGTAGTCTCAAAACATCTGGAGGGCTGAGGTTGAGGAAGGCTGATCTAGTGTCACATTTGTATAATGTACTTAAAACGCAGTTAAAATGTTATATTTCCTCATGAGATGGTCTCCTCCATTTCACTTAGAGGCACTAACCAGACAGGCAGCAGGCTTCAGGGCAGGTGTCATGAAACCCAGCGTTGCACCCTGGCATCTGTCGCCTCAGGCAAATACCTCACTTTGCTTAATGACAGAGCTGCCAAACACAATTTCCTCTTCCTTTCTCTTTCATTATTTACCCCACCCCCTTTTCCTCACACTATTTTTCTGCATGTCAGGCATGAAGCTGTATAAGAAGCAACTTCTTATACACCAGCATCAAATTATTCCTGTGTGTTTGGGGTCTCAGGTTGAGATTTTGACCCAATATATATTTGCAAAGGCAGAAATAATTGGTGCATTAGCTTGCAAGACCTCTTGAGACATATACAGAAACACACAAGCACCCACCCCCCCAATTCCTTGACTATCTGAAGGATGCAAGTTCCCACACTATGTTCTGAATGCTAAGGCCAAAACATTTGCTATCCCTATAGACTCAGCAGACTAGTAGACTGCAATTCGTGTCCCATTTAAGTGACTTGTAATCTTCATGTGAGTTGTAAGAAGTTATTACAATGCTTGGTGATATCTGGCTTTGAAGTTCAACACGAATCAAAGCTATCATTCTCCTTGTATCAATGAAATTTCAAGGATTATTCTCCTTTGAAGTTGAATTAATTTGCAAAAAAAGAAAGAACAAAGTTTCACCTGTATTGTTATAGATCCCTCAGGTATCACAAGCTCTGGAGAGCACAGGCAAGATCGTGCTTGCTCTCACCAGGGTGGCAAGACTCTGACCCAGGAGCAAGTTACTTCAGGCGTTAGTCTGTTCTTCTGTCTTGTTACATTAGATCAATCTAACAAAATCCCCTCTCAAATGTGACTCATTTCAACACGCATTTGAAGATTGCTTTTCAGTCCAGTTTCTAGCTCACCAATAAGCATGCTAAACCTAATTTATGGCATTATTCCTTGGAGAGCCCATTAAATCAGCGTTCAGGATAACTTTATATAGACCTTTTTGTTGGCGTTTAGATAATCCATTAGCCAGATAATTTAACATCCCCTAGGACTGATAAGTTTATTTTCAGCCTCTTTGATTGTTTGGGCTCATTTTGCAAAGATTACAAATAGAAGATTTTTTTAAAAGGAACACTGTAATAAGTCATGAAGCCTGGAGAGGACTTAAACTACTTGTTGTCCCTCACTCTAGGCCTATCTCTCAGCAGATAAAATATTCCATGGATCAAATAAATTGCCAAAATGCATCCATCCTGAAATATTGACACAACTGCTGTTTTGATGAACCGTACGGGAGCACAGATTTTTCTCTCACAGAAGTGTGTAGTTTGTTACTGCTCTACGCTGGATGCACATGAGATATACAAAATCATAAAATAGGGAGGAAATGAGTGTAATCTGTGAATAACACAAGAAGAAACCTGTTGCATCAGATCAAGAGTCCTCCTAGTTCATCTGTTTCGAATACTGGCCAGACAGATACTCCAGGGAAAATTACATACAGGGCTTGAAAGAAACAGTTCTGTCCCATTCTATGACCCTGGCATATCATATTGAAGCAGAGATGGACTGATCAATCTGTTTCTGATCTGTGTTATTTCTGCATATGTTAATTCACTGTCTTCCCACACTGAACTCCACTGAAGTTGTCATCTATGCATGCTTAACTGCACCTTCCATTATCTAACTGGGTAGAAGCTGATTTGAGGGAAAGTGCATAAAACAGGGGTATTTATCAAGAACCTACAGGATACAGATGGATTGTGACCAATATTGTGTATACACAACTTTGATTGCCAGCTGTGGGAGCACACTGAACTGGAGTAAATGGCAATGTGTGCCCCTGGGAAGTGTATGGAGTTTGCAGGATTGCTATCCCATTTCTGTCTCTCTTTGTGCTTCTGTTGCTCCATCCCTCTGTGCATATTGCAGATTGTCTGCCCCCATTTCTAACTCCTCCCTAGAAAGATGGATTAGAAGGTACCAAGATTATGAGCAACATGAAATTACTCAGGATGGTGAAACCCAAAGAGAGCCTTGATTGACCATAAAAAGTCAATCATCCATAGCAAGTGAACTGGCAAGAAAATGGCAAATGTGATTCAATGTAATTGATTCAATTAAATGAGTTATTCAGTTAAGTGATATTTTCTGATCACATGCAGAGGGCTTCCTGCCCCTCCTCACATAGATCCATCAGGTTCACAACTCTATTCATTCCTACAGTTTTGTTTTTCAGTTTCTGCCTTCTGAGCTCTCCCCCGCCCCTATTTCCATAGCTCAGCACAAGGATTTTCCCAAGGTTTTCTGCTGCCTCTTCTGCTGCCTACACACACACACACACACACACACACACAGAGAGAGAGAGAGAGAGAGAGAGAGAGGAATGCAGCATCTGGAGAGTTACATGAAATTAGGCCAGGGGCAAATGTCCTCCGCCACCATTTTAAATAGTAATTTTGATAAATGCAGTATTAAACTTCTGGCATATACATGTGTAAATGCCAGCTATAGCAGCAGAGGAAAATATATGTTCGTTTTTGTCCAATATAGGACAAAATGACTAAGTGGAATAAAGGAATACTAGCTGAATCGTGATAAGAGTATGGTCCTTGCTTGCTTAATCTGCTCAGCTTGTACTATATACACAAGCTCAGCATGCAATGTCAACTCAAGCTGAACCATTAAACCATTGCAATTTGGGTGTAATTAACAAGCTCATAGGGACAACATGTGCTCCACTCACGAATAAGAAACTGTGGAAGGGAAGAAGCCACAAAATCACTCTGACCACAACAATTTTTTTAAGCAGACTAGATAAAAGGCCAAAAAATTGAATTCTGCATCAACAAATGGTGTTCTGTGCTTTCTACTTAAAATCAGAGACAGTAAGCATGCTGATTTTTCAAACCTCATCTATAATTCCCAGCATGCTACCCCATCTGTCATGGTTAACTTTTGCTACCGTCAAGAAAAAGTATCAAAAGATATCAAAGTTTCTGAATCTTGTTTCCAGGCAACAGACTTTCAAATAACGAAACTGCACCAGGACTAGTTAATATAACAATGGGAAATATACCCTCCGGCCCCCGTATCTGAGGAAGTGTGCATGCACGCGAAAGCTTATACCAAGAACAAACTTAGTTGGTCTCTAAGGTGCTATTGGACAATTTTTATATATATTTTGACTGTGTCAGACCAACTCGGCTACCTACCTGAATCTAGATACCCCCCACCCCGACAAAGTCAACTTGACCATCTACCAAATCTAGGGCAAAGTAATGCATTTCTACTTAATAAATGGGGACGCGGGTGGCGCTGTGGGCAAAAGCCTCAGTGCCTAGGGCTTGCTGATCGAAAGGTCGGCGGTTCGAATCCCCGCGGTGGGGTGCGCTCCCGTTGTTCGGTCCCAGCGCCTGCCAACCTAGCAGTTCGAAAGCACTCCCGGGTGCAAGTAGATAAATAGGGACCGCTTACTAGCGGGAAGGTAAACGGCGTTTCCGTGTGTGGCTCTGGCTCACCAGAGCAGCGATGTCACACTGGCCACGTGACCCGGAAGTGTCTCCGGACAGCGCTGGCCCCCGGCCTCTTGAGTGAGATGGGCGCACAACCCTTGAGTCTGTCAAGACTGGCCCGTACGGGCAGGGGGTACTTAATAAATGCCAACAAAGGTCCATATAGTTAAAGCTATGCTTTTCCCAGTAGTGATGTATGGAAGTGAGAGCTGCACCATAATGCTGATCGCCAAAGAATTGATGCTTTTGAATTATGGTGTTGGAGGAGACCCTTGAGAGTCCCATGGACTGCAAGAAGATCAAACCTATCCATTCTGAAGGAAATCAGCCCTGAGTGCTCACTGGAAGGACAGATCCTGAAGCTGAGGCTCCAATACTTTGGCCACCTCATGAGAAGAGAAGACTCCCTGGAAAAGACCCTGATGTTGGGAAAGACTGAGGGCACAAGGGGAAGGGGACGACAGAGGACGAGATGGTTGGACAGTGTTCTCGAAGCTACCAACTTGAGTTTGACCAAACTGCGGGAGGCAGTGGAAGACAGGAGTGCCTGGCGTGATCTGGTCCATGGGGTCACTGACTAGCAAGACCAGTGGCAAGGGATGATGGGAATTGTAGTCCAAAAACAGCTGGAGGCACAAGGTTGGGAAACACTGAACTAGAAAACTATCAATTTACTCAGCTGTCTGTTTACCCACTTGCTAGGCAACAGACAATCAAGAGCATTTATTAGGGTGAGGCTCCAGCTAGTAATCTCTGGATGCTGCCAGGCACAGCTAAATTGATAAACAGCTGCTAACTATCACCATATCTGGAAAGAGTGGTCTCCAATGGCATCTGTCCACTGATGGAGAGAATCCATCAGAGGGAGGCATTCAGGCGCATACCTGCAACCCCTGCACTCTGGTGCAGATTTAAAGGGATGGGGGGGGGGTTGCGGGGGGAGAAGTAATTGCTAGAGGTT